GACGACTTCGCTGACCTTCGACCTGCGCTAGTGCCAGCCTTTTCCGGCCGTGCCTCGTTCTCGCGGGGACTTCTCCGCGCTGCAAGAGGGCAGAACGCCACCCGCCGGAGCTGTTGTGTTGGGATGCGAATTTGCTAACACTCTAGCGCAACTTCAGAGCGGCGGCGTCCGAGTCTGCGGCATCCGTGCCTCCTATACTGCCTCTGTGCCGGTCGGACTGACGCTTGCTCGGCTTGCAAGCAGTCTTAATGCCGGCCGTCAAACTTCACAGAAGTCCTAGCTGCCTCATCAGAAGTCCTTCCAAGTTTTCGAGGCCGGCGACGTGGCGCCAGAGCTCCAGCAACAGCTGCCGCCGTCTCGCATTGAGATCCCGCGCCGCGCGCACCTGCGATCTAGCGATGCGGGTGGCTTTCAGGGCCGTCACGCGACTTGCAAACGATTTATGTGCCCGGCCGCGTACCACAGGTGCAGCAGCCCATCCTCTGGCACCGCCGTCGCCGGGCTATTCCCGTAGGTCCAAGGTGACACGTCCATGCGACGTGGTTCTTGCAGGATTGGCGGCATAGGCGTCCGGTACATCAGAGGCTCCACCAGGAAGGACGCCTGGCGGCGACAAACTTGTGTGCCGGACCGGCTGAGCCCTGTCTCTCTTGCTTCGGCACCTTGCTGCAGCCGGGCCGCTACCAGCTCCGCCACCGGTCCGCGCCGTCCGCCGCGGAAGAAGGGCAGGAGCCGGAGGACCCGAAGAATGCGAGCGGATTCCGAGGTGCGGGCGTGAGCGCACTGCAATAGGATCAGGCTGCGCTGCAGCGCCTCGCCCAGTTGTTCCTCGTAGCGGAGGCAGGCGCTTCCTGGGCTATAGGCCGAACGAGATCACATGGTTTGGAGCGGTGTTTCTGAAAGCCCGCGAGCCTGCGTGAAAATAACAGCGGCGCTCCAAGGAAGACATGTCATCCACGGTGTGCAAGTGCATTGCCCGGACGGAGCTACGGGAAGCAATCTCTCTATACTGGGCTGACGCGTCCTGGGACCTGAGCAACGTGTGTCTGGTGCCTTGCCGTGCTGCGAAAAGCACTTACAACGCAACTGACATTGGCTTGGAAGATTTCCACGGTGCATCGACAGTGGATTGACTGAGGAGCGGCAGGTGCTTCGGGCTTTCTGCCGCTTCCCGAGAATCGCAAAGGTCTCTCGCGTTCGCGGTGCGAATCGCTCGCGACAGGTCCGGACGGTGCAGCTCTGTACGTGCCGCTGCTTCAGTGAAGGCCGCTGGACACTCCCGTGCTCCGCGACGGGTGCCTGGTCGGTGGCAAGCTCCAACACTAGACGAACGCGGCAAGACTTGGGCTTCAAGGCGACCGAGCTGCCGCTCGGCCAGGCCTGACCTTCAGATGACTCCCAGCTGCAGCAGCAGTGCTCCTTCTGTGTTCTCGAATCCGGCAACGCGGCGCCACAGCTCCAGGAGCATCTGTCTGCGCGTCGCATTCAGCTGACGTGCCGCCTGAACCTGTCACTTGCCGCGGAAAAGGTTGTTCTCGGGGAAGCTTCGTGTCGAGCTACACTCACACTGAGATCCCGGCTGCATACCACAGCTGCAGTAACTCGTTCGCGGCCGGCAGCGGAGGGATGAGGTGGGGCTGTGCCGGCACGGCCACGCGAAGCGGCTCCAGCAGGATGGCCGGCACGCGAGTGGGGACTGCGAGCGGCTCCACGAGGAAGGAGGCCTGGTTCTCATGCAGCAACACTAGGCTTCGTCGAAACCTTCCTCTAGCCATGCAAGGGCACGCAAGGATTCCGAGGCAGCGGCCACCAGCTCCGCCAGCGCTCCGTGCCGTCCGCCGCCGAAGATGCTTAGCAGTGCCAAGGCCTCGTGGACCCGGACGGATTGGACCACACGCATGTGGGCGCGCGCGAGCGTTGTGAGGCTGCGTTGCAGCGCCAGGGCCGTCCGTTCCTCCGATTGCAGACAGGCGAGTCCTGACGGCAGTTGTGTGAGAAGAGGCGATGTCCAGAATGACCCCCGCTCCGCTCCTGGCCTTGTGCCCACGAATGGCGTCTCCCTAGGGACGACACGTCGTCCACGTCGAAGCACCGCATGTTCGCGGGCGAGGCAGGGACGCAGGTCGAGGGCGGGACTTCGTGAGGCTGAATGATCACGCTCGAGGTGCGGTGGCGAGCTCCTGCTCGGACCTGCTTGCCTAAATGCCGGTAGATAGCTTGCTTACCGACCGCCCTTTTCTGGTCGCAAGTGATCACGCCGCGATTGGATGCAGTACCCACCGACGATTTGTCGAGCCCCTCGGCCTGAGCCAGATACTTGTGTACCCAGCCGGGGCCGGCGGGGAAAGGCTCCAGTCGCCGAGTCGACACAGACGGTTCGTCCCGGTCACTTGCAGCACCACCTGAGTGAGGAGACGCGCACGTCGGTCCGATCTTGGTGTGATTTCGATGAAGCTAAAGTCTCGCGTCGCTCATCGGCGCCTCGTTGAAGTTGGAGTGGAAAGTCCATATTACCTCTTGGCCCAGCCATTGGAAAGGGTCGTCTTCGCCTACGTGGTGTTGGAGAGAGCAGGTCGTCTGTTCGATCCGAAAGTAAGATCCGGACGTACCGAGAAAACCGGTGTCGTGTTGCTGGAGATCCAGGGAGGCTGCGTCGGTCCTTCGCTTGCACGCTAGGGTGCGAGCCGATCCATAAGACCCGAGTGCGATCTAAGGCAGCAGCCGGAGGCGGCAGACGAGGTGTCCACCGGAGAAGCGAACTCAGACGCAGACGTGGAGCCTTGGAAGTAAAATCTCACACACACGCATGTGGTGCATCGCGTCGCTCAGTCTCCGACGCTGCTGGATCCCGGCTGCGCATTCTTCGCAGACTGTATGTCCGCACGGTGTGAATGCGCAAATGCGTTCCGCCGTGTCCTCCGACGGGAAAACATCATGCGATACTCGGTTACTACGAATTTCATTGAACTGCCTCCAGGCAGATGGGACAAGGACCGATCAATTTGACGCCGAAGAGGCGCACCTCAGCACAATTCATGGTAAACAGCTCTGGCGGATATGTACGATATTGCTT